GGGCAGGGCGAGGGGAAAGGCAGTCATTTTGGCGTACCAATGGGGCGGTGGAGCAGACGCTCAAAGGTACATTCACCGGTCTTTTCAAAGAGCAAGCGAATGGTCGAGGCCACGCTGAGTCGAGTCAAAGGGGGCAGAGGGTGGGGTGAGCCGATGATCGTGGGTTGCAGCCAGGGACAGAGGCACGGGCGTTGTTTAGGGCGCATGTGCGGGCGTACGAAGGATCAGGCAGCTGAAGTCGAGCATTGAGTTTGCGCGGGGGTTCGTTGCGGTGTTCAAGTGATTTGAGGTATGAAAAGTCTTGAAGTAAGGTATCAAGGTCGGCCATGATGGTGCGGTGCTGGCACCCCGAGGGGTGGGCGAGGCGCGGACCGGGCCGACTGAGGCAATGGGCGACGCGAATCGGGCATCAACCGACTGACCTAAGCGCGAGCAAGGTTGAAACAGAGGGGAAGCGGAGGGGCGATGAGCGCGCGATCTGAAGAGAGACAGAGAGAGAGAGGGAGACAGAGAGAGAGAAAACTTTTTGGCACAGTCACAGCACGAAGAGGGAAAGGGAGGAGGGAGAGACAGATGACCAGGCAGCGGTTGGATCGAGGTCCAAAGGGGGCCTTTGGCGTGCCCGCTCCTTCCGCTCCTGCCATCAACAGCCGCCGCCAACTTACTCACCCCAGTCACACACGGACACACGGACACACGGACACGGACACGGAGACACGGGCCTTGCCACAAAAGGGCTGCTTCGCAAGTGTCAGTATCACTCCCGAGGCAGGGGACGCTGAGGTAACCAACAACCAGCCAGCGCCTACGTCTGGCCCCCAATCAATGGCCCGCACGTCCCTTCAAAATCGCCGCTACCGCTGCCGCTACCGCTACCGCTACCGCCGCCGCCGTCGCCCTTTTTTATTTTTTTTATTTTTTTTTCTCTCTCTCTCTCTTGTTGGCTGCTGCTAAGGTGAGTGAGTGAACTTGGAAGAAGAGAGACAGGGCGCTTTCGTGGGCTGAAAGGAGAGAAGGAGTGGTGACGCGAGGTGAATGCAGAGAACTGGTGTGGATGTGTCATTTATGCTGTGGATACTGTAAGGTGAATTCAGAGGTTATGGGTGAGACATGGAAAGAGTGAGAGAGGGAGAGGTACAGAGAGACAAGAGGGAGAGACAGAGAGACAGCGAGAGACAGAGAGAGACAGAGAGACAGCGAGAGACAGAGAGAGACAGAGATAGATAGAGATTGAGATTTATGAGATTGAGCTATGCAGAGAAGAGAGAGAGAGACAGAGACAGAGCCAACCAACCAAAACAAATTTTAACCACGCAACAAAAGACCCTGAAGGAATAAGAACAACGCAAGGAGTTTGAGAGAGAGAGTTTGAGAGAGTTTTGAGTGAGAGAGAGAGCTTGAGAGAAGGTGAGAGAGAGAGAGCCACGCACAGAGAGAGAGAGAGAGAGAGAGAGAGAGAGAGAGAGAGAGAGAGAGAGAGAGAGAGAGACACACACACACACACATCAAAAAGGGGGTGACGACGTTGTGGGTGTTGGTGACCCTGAACCCACATGGTAAGAGGACCTTGTTCATAACAGAACACACACATACACAGAGCCATGAATGGGATCAAGCTGACGGGTGGTCGGCGACTGGGAGCCTGGTCCGAAGCGGGAGCGAATGGTGAGGTTTATGGCTGAGTTTGTAGGTACACCACATGTCTACGGGAGGATGGGGTCTTGTGAAGGTCTTCAAACTTCTGAGGAAACACTTGCTGACCCCTGCCCCTGCCTTCTTTTCTTTTGCGTACGCGTCGGACTTTGGATGCCACTCCAACGGCGCGCACGGAGACCGGTGGTATGCTTGACGATCACCACCGCAGTCGTGCACAACTTTTAAGGAGGGAGTCATTGGAATGTGGGGGGCGAACCCGACTGTAACACCCCAAAGCCACAACAAGACCCAATAACACTGATTTCGACGGTGCACCGGCGCGGCCAGATAGAGCCGTTGAAGCAGCGGTGCTGCCCTCCTTCCTTCACCATGAACTGCACAGTCAGGACGGTCAGGGCAGCAGCACAGGACTATGGTAAGGGGGGAAGGTCACGACAGTCCCGTGTGCACTGGCACGCCACGCGTTCTGGACATAAAATTTGTCGTCGCAAAGTCCTGCTGGTGTCAATCGTACGTCAAGCCCATTTTGAGCCCCATATCAGCTCAGCCAGTCCAACAACCATTGTGCCAGTACCAAAGCTCTGGCCTCTCTTCCTCGCCCAACCATCGTACCTGTCAAGAGCCCCGGCTGCCAAAACACGCTCTCTTTTTCTTCTAACGATCATGCATTGTGTGCGTGTGTGTGTGTGTGTGTGTGTGTGTGTGTGTGTGTGTGTGTGTGTGTGTGTGTTTACGAGTTCA